AAGTTTGGGTAATTAAACCTTTATCATACAAAAATTGTGGCGTAAGAATACAAGTGTACAATTAATACAGCAACGATACAAGTAGTGAATAAGCGCAGCCTGATCACTAATGTTTAGGTTGCTAATGAGTGAAGATGTTGTCATATGTCTTCTACTACATGAGATGGATGTGAGGACATGATGACTTGGGCAGCATTGCTGTGACCTGAGCTAGCTAACCGTGGAGCCGGTTATGTACCTCTTGGGCTAGGCGGAGTCAGGCTACAGTAGAGAAAAAGATGGTTCACCACTAAGAGCTGTTAGAAACATTTCTCAAGCTTTACAATCTGATAAGGCGATATTCAAAGCATAGGATTTTAACTGCAGATGTTTTTCATAAGATAACCGCCAACGGAATGTTAGACATACGGCTATCAGATCGTCATTGAGAAAGGTCATGGGAGAAGTTTTGAAATGTTTTACATAGAGAACATTCCAATGTTCTTGAAGAATGTTCTCTATATTCCTCCCTCTCACGAGTGTACAGGGAATAAATGTTCGGCCGATAGTCAAATCGTTTGTGCCGCCATTGATGATAGGTCTGGTACTTTGTGGAGCAGTGTTTGTATCGCGATGCTGGCTTGCCCTGTAGTCTGAAAACGCCTCGTTTAAGTTGCGGTGTTAGTAGTTGGTTCGGTATTGTCGGTTTCCGCTTGTGTAGCTGCGTGGAGAAGTGCTTTGATTGGTGTTTGTGTGGTGGAGTCTTTCTGTGGTGCTCGTGGAGTTTGAGTAGCCTTGTCCACTTTGGATGACATCTGGAATTGTTTTTTAATATTATTTTGCAGCACTGTAATAATATATGGAGAAAGCACGGTAATGAATAGCAGAGCAGAATAGTAGAGCAGGTTGAGTAAAAAATTGGGGCTGTTAAAAATGACGAAAATACAGTAGTGAATAGTAGAGTAGAATAGCAGGGCAGATTGAGCAGAAATTCGTAACATGCCATACGTTGGGCGATTTACAGTAGCTTGTTGTGCGTGAGACTTTTTACATGGAATTAGGCGGATGAGACAAATTAGTCTGCCGATATTTCGTAGGAGTAGCTTGATAGCTTTGAACATACATAATCCGACTTGGACTGTGCAAGCAGGTAGACATGCGTAGGTGAGTACGTATTTTACAAATAGAAGAATAAAGATAGCAACAAGTGTTTTATAGTAATTCATGAATATGCCGGCTATGTGCCAGAAATCTGGCCATTGTAGTTCAAAATCCGTGTTTGTCTGCCCTTTCAGCTACGTTTTCAGTATACCATTAGTGAACCTCGTGAATTTTAGAAGGCCTCTTATTGCGAAAGTAGTAGGTGTGGATCCGCATGTGACTGTACATTGTTCGTCGACTCTGACATGGCTGAAGCTAAATTGAAGTATTGAGTGTTGTCCATCGTTGTTGCACGGTATCGAGAAGGTCGCTGAAGGGCATGCTATTTCTGCTTGGATAGTCCTTGATGATTTGCATCGCACCTGTGCTTTTGATCCTTTGCGGCAGCGATAACATCCCTGTAGTGCGGTACCGTCAGCGGTACATATATCTTTATCTACTACGATATTGGTTTCGAGTTTATTCCGAATGTTGAGGATCATTTCTGCTGTTGTCATACTGAAGACTTTTGCGGTGATTTCTCTCTCTTGTTTTTTTTTGGAACAACATCGAAAGGAGGATTATCAGTAGCCTATTTTGCACGCTGTTGAACCATGATGCAATTTTTATATCTTCACATCTATAATTAGTCTATGTTTTCGCTGGATAGGATGTAATCGCTTTCCATCGAGCAGTTAAGGTTAAGCAGCTGTTTGGTTCGCGGATCTAAGGGATGCCGTTATGTGGGAGTTCCAGATTGCTGTTCGCTTTCCGTCGGATATAAATAGTGTATTGAGTTTTGGAATAGGTCCACCGTTATGGAGCTAAGTATGAGCGTGAAAAAGCGTTTGAATGGAATGTTCGGTTGTAGCTGTGACGTATGACTGCTTTATTCGCTAAATAGCGTTTAAGTATGTGTTTTCCACTTTGACAGATTCTTTCCAGCGATTGCAGTGGAAGATTTCGTAAATTGTTGAAGACGTTGGGGATAAGTAAATGCGGTAGAATAGGCATCCAGAGCTCCAGTAAAAGCAGTCGCAACCTGGACCTCTACAAGATTCAACGCAGGCTGTTATTCCTGGGTATTTATTTTCTATTTCAAGTTCTGGTATGAAACTTGTGGTATTTATGCCTGTGCACTGCTTCCCTTTACATGATCCTGTGTGTGGACATCGCTCGTTGTGTGACGTGGTGCGTGGTGTCTCTAGTAAATAGGTCCGTTTCGGTTCGCAAGTTAGTATTAATGACTTCCGTTCGATTCTTATTTCGTGTAGTGATGTTTCGTTGTGTAGTAGTTTAAAGCAGGCTTTTCTTGTGAAAGGGTTGATTTTTAAGATTTCGGAGAGTTGGACGTCGCAAAATTGGCCTCTCTGTTCTTGTCTGCAGAGTATTGTTATATGGGAAAACAGATTTACCTGTTGGCAACCGTTACATGTGAGCGTAAGTGACATTGCGATCATTATTAATCTGCTGAGTTTGATGTTGTGACGCGTGGAGCGAGGTCTTCTGATTTTCCGATTGATTTTTTTTTGATCGAAATGACACAGGGAAATATACAGAGTCATTAGAAGAGGAAAAAGTTTGTTAACCTATAACTTTTAAGTACAGCAATCAGATTAGTTGTTATACTGGAAAATTTGCTTACATACGGCATACGATTCAAACTGGTGATTGCCGATCGTATTGCATGCCAAGTAAAATGAAGTATTACTCGAATTGGTTTTCCGAGAGTGAGTGGTACGTATAGTAGTACGTAGAAGCCGGTAACAATGCAATAAATGGCAATTGCTGATGCCAGTATAGCACCTGATGGCCAGAATTCGGGATTGAAAATTAACTCCGCACATAGTACACAGTTGAGGTGTTCGCGGAATGGTGACGGTGAACATGTTGCTTCAGTAATATCGAATGATTGATTATCAGCGAGTTTTCATTGAATTTTATGCTCGTGAAGAATTATATGCGGTAGAAGATTGACTACCTCTTTGGATTCTGGTGTTTCTAACGTTTTACAGTAACCGTCTGCACATACCTGGTAAGGGGTGTCGCCAGGTGAAGTGAGTTGTATTCCTCCTTCGATGTACTTTATATGGCGGGAAGTTAGTATACCGGTTCGAATTTGCTTCTGAGCATTGTCCTAAAAGAGTTAATAGGGATAGAATGTTAAGGATCAGTGAAACATTTGGAGTTGTTGCTAACGAGGCATTGAGAAGTTTGTTATAATCGATTCGTTGCTGGCGTCGTAAGTTACACGTATCTGTCCGCTTTCTGGGAGCTGTTTCTGTGACTGCTGTTGTGTTGTTTCCTTCCATTGGTAATTCGTGTTGTCTAGTTGGTTGTGGAGCTCTTGTCTCGAGTTGCTGGTCTGGTGCTGGTATGTGCTTTAATGAAGGTTCATCTAATTCCAGTGGAGTTAAAAGATTGAGTGGTTGGCGAATTAGACGGTGTGATAGTAGTAGAATAACTGCTTTCCGTGCGATACCTTGTGAGTTCTTGACGAGTTCCTTAATTCTGCCCATCTTCCACGAATATCGAGGTTGCGCCAGGTCGTTGATTAATACCAAATTGTCCTCTTTAGGCGTATATTTCGAGCTTCTTTGTGTGGAATTACTCTGATGCTTTTCCCGCAGTGATGTTAGGAAGCGAGATTTCCAAATTGTCCAAAATTTTTCCGTTAATCTGCAGGATGAATTTGAAGCCTTGGTGACTTGTTCTTTTGTTCGTAGTACGACTTGTTCTTCTGACGGTAGATAGGAGGGGTGGCATGTTTCGTTGGCAATCTCATCTAGTGCAGCAAAAATTTCGAAGCCTTTCTGAAAGAAGTCGATAGATCGAAGCGTTTCTTCTCGTGGGGATTTCGATTCTACGTATAACAGTGGCCTCGTATTAAGGAGTGATTCGATTTCTATTATTACCGTTGTTAACTGGTCTGTTGAGAGTTTTACGGTTCATTATAGTCAATTCCTCTATAGGTAGGAAGGTTGACTGCAGTTTTGTGGTGGATTTCGTCGAAATTTTGTCTTTGGCTGGTCTCTTGTCCGACGTGGTTTATTTTGGACGTAGAAGTGGGCTTTTTATGCCCTTTCTCTTTGTGTTTACTGACGTTGGCCTCGTTTTTGGCGTTCGCATCCTTCGTAGGTGTCACGAACGTCTTCTCGTTTTGTGTTGAAAAGAAAGAGCATGATGTGTTGTGACGTTTCTGGCACTTACGACATGACGACCCGTTGCACTGAACTGTGCTGTGGGATGAAGAGGCGCAAAATAAGGCATAGCTTATTATTTTGAAGGTACTGGTACCTTCCCTGAGGTGTTTCGTATTTACTGCAATAGAAAGGCTTGCGGTCGCCTTTACAATACATGCACAAGAGCTTTGTTGCCGGCAATTTCCAATATTTGACTTTATTGTCGAGGCGAACTGGATCTCGAGGAGGTGTTGAGGTGGTCTGGCGAAATACCAGTTCCTCGCTGGTTATAACCTCTTCGAAATATTTTAGAAGCTGCTGCATGGTGAAGGGTTTGTCGGGAGAAGTGATCTTTTTGTGAAGAACTTTACGTTGGATCCCGACCGGAAATTTTCGAAAGCACCTCTTGATACGTGGACTGATTGTCGACATTTTCACCTTTTTGCACTAATTGGCCTATGATGGCTTCTATGTCTTTCCATAGTCTGCGTTGCTCTTGTATGAACGATGAGTGACACTGTACTTATTAGTAAGAAATTCTATGGCTTTTGTGTAGTTCTGCCTAGTGAGTTGGAACCTCTTCATCGATTGTAGAGGTTCCTCCTTTAAGGAGCTAAGCAGGTAGTTGAATTTTTGCAGCTTGGAGAGATTTTGTAAATGTACGCTTAAGTTTAAGAGCTCCCAAAAGTTATCCCAGTTTCATATGTCGCCATTGAATGTTGGGATTGGGATTGTGGGTAGCTCCAGATTTTTTGCGACCGCAGTGACAGCGGCTTCATCTTTGCCACTGTTCGTAGTGGAGGGTTTGTGGGACGTGTTGAGAAGCTCAGCGTGTGCCTTGAAGCCATGGATCCGAGCATGAAGGAGTACAAGGTATTCGAAAGTATTGCCAATCGCTTCTTCAGCGGTACTCGAGTACTGTGCGAACTCTTCTTCGATATTCGGTAGCGTTGGGTGTGTCTTTTCGAATATGGTAGCGAGTTCATCTGGTGCGTGTTCAATCTTTGTGGTCATGTTTTTTAGGGCTGCAACTCCTTCTTCTAACTGCTGTAGGCATTTGTGAATAACGGTGGGTGTTATCTCATCTTGCAGGTTTTGAATACTAATTTCTTCTAACTGCGCGTCTGAATCGGGATAGAACTTTTTGCAATTGGTTAGTACACCGCGTGAGTATCCGTTTGTGACTTGCCAGTGATAGGTTGGACATGATTGAAGAATTAACGTACTTGGTTGTGACTTCCTTGACCTGATGGATCCTTTCAAGCGGCCAATGCACCAAAATTTGTTGGTTAGTCGCATAGCTATAGTTACCGCATCTAGCTCCATTTTTGGTACGATTGATGTAGATTTTAGCGAAGGCAGTTTGCTTTTTCCCATGAGAAGGTTGATTGAATTTTCGGAGCGTAGATAAATGCAGGTGGCGAGAGCTTCAACGCTGGCGTCCGCGAAGGTTACTACAATGCATTTTGTATTTTTTGCTCCAAGATAACGTGGTAGAGGTTTCGTGAAACCTTGTATTTCCGTGCATATGGTTATCCATTCGTCCTTACAGGAGTCTGGCAGGATGTAATCCCAATTGTATTTGTCTTTCCATAGGCTGCGTAAGAATACCTTTGCTTTATGAAGTAAAGGTATTAGAAAGCCCATGGGGCCGTATACCAACGCTAGTGTGCTAGCCACCGTTTGCTTGGTGATACGTAGATTTGTTCATGTCATGCATGTTATCTATAGACAGTCGGACTTGGTGTTCCATGGTATTCCCAGTACTTTCGGTAATTTGGTGTCCGCTTTATCATCAGAGGGTATTTTTGCAATTAGGTCAATATTGTTGGAAGCGAATTCGCGAAGAATTATGTTGGGGTCATTGAATATTTGTTTTGTGCGTAAGTAGCTCTGAAATGCTTCTTCGTGGGCATCGAAGGTTACAACAAGGTTGTCCACGCATAGGCTGTCTTTAACTTGCGTAATTAATTCTGCTTCTTCTTTATATTGATCAAAATGAAAACATGTTGTTCGGAGTAAAAGAAATGGGGTGTATTTAATCCGAAAATTACTTTGGTGAAGCGGAAGGTTTTAATGTTGTTCGGAAGTGGTGGTAGCCTCTGATCATGTAGCCAAAGGCATCATGTGGCATCACGATCGTCCTCATGGAGTCGGACTTGTATAAAGGCCTCTTCAACGTCTGATATAATCGCGATTCGTCCTATTTTAAAGCGAAGGAGGATTCCGAACAATTGTGAGAGGATCACCGGTCCTCTGTGTAATACGTCGTTGAGTGATGGGCATTCCTTGTAGTGTGTTGATGCGTCATAAACTATTCTGATCTTAGTGGTATTTTTATTCGAAGTTAAGACTGCTTGGTGAGGAATGTAATGAACTCGGAAGCTTTGTGGCGTTTCCTGTCCGTTGATTTCCTCTAGAATGTGCAGGCGGAGTTGTTCTTCGAGTATGCTATTGTACCTATCGAGCAGGTCTCTGTTGTTTTGTAGGGATTTCCAAACACTTATGAGTCTATTGAGTGCAATTGATCTATGATCAGGTAGTGATAGCTGAGCGTTTTTCCAAGGCAGACGAACGTAACATCCGTCTAACCTTTTTTCAATGGTTTTGTTGAAGGTTTACCATACTTGCTGACCCGTCAGTGCTTTTTCCATTTTTGCGGAGTTCGTGAATTCTTCTGTTCCAGCAGATTCGAGGGTCCAAAATTATTCCCATTTCATTGCTTCGTCTTCGTCCTTTTCTGAACCTTCAATAAGGCAAGTATAGACTTGACATTCCAATGTCCGATGCTGATTGGACTTATCCATTCCATCGTCATCGACTTGCACGTGTAGTGACCAGTATTGATCCCATCTGTCTAGTTCGTCCTTTGTTGGACTTGTAACAACACGTTATCATTTTCTTTTTGTAGCGCAGAAAGACTTTTTAGTTGTCCTGTACATAAATGACCTAGACGCGTTGGGATAAGATTTAACCCGGATGGTTATTCAATGTGCTGTTTATCGTTTTTCGTCAGGGTCCACAGTTGGTCGCATCCGAGTAGAATGGAAAGTTGAACCACGGGCCTGGTTTTACTTATCTCAATTTGGAGGTTGTTTTTTACTATGAAGTCTATGTCTTCTGGACAAATTGGCGGTGGTTTAAAAGGCTTCGTTATCGCGTTATGTGTGAACAAGAATAACGATATTTGATGGCCGTCCGCATCCCATACCTGTAATGGAGCTTTTCGTGAAAGGCGTTCTTGCACATTGTTTGAGCTAAATGTGTTAAGTCGTAGTTTAATTTCTTCTATCGTCGGTAGATAGAGCTTTTGTGCAAGATTCTCGTCGATAACGGATAACTCGGCTCCTGTGTCCAGTAGGATGGAAACCTTCTCTAATTGTTTTGTGGTCTTCCACAAACTTCACAAAAAAGAACAACTTGACTGTTCCAGGCTCTGAGGGAGGCGAAGTCCGCCGAAACGTCAGCTTGTTCGTGAATCGCTGAATGGTGCCGACATCGATTTTTCGATTTTTCCATGACGACTGCAGAAAAAGTAGGCACTGTTCTGCACGCAGCGTGATGTCGCCCAGTTGGTTTCTGGCTCAACTGTTTGTCATCGCCACCTCTCTGAATATCGTTTACATTCTGGGAATAAAATTCCTCCCGTATTCTCTTCTAACCATTCGTCTTGATGAATATTAAAAACGCAAGCTTTCGTTACACTGTGTCGTTTTCTTTACGTGATTAAACAAAACGTCTCATGAAAATCGCTAAAATTCGAGAATGTCCATAAACAATCGCATTCCTCGAAGTGACATTTCATCGCTAAAGATGATTTTGTATGGAAGCTGCTTTTTTCTCACAGTGTCAGGATACCGCAAGTGCTATTGAGCGGATAATCCTGTGTAGCTCAAGGTAAGCGTGTGGAGTTGCAAAAGCCGGCGATGAGTTCCAGTCCTCGGCATCCGAAAGAGCTGAGCGCCAACAATGAAACTTGAAGAATAAACCTAAAATGATTTCCTTTAACTTTATCAAGACCAATATCTCTTTTTCTTCTACTGTTCCAATTGTAATCGCTGGAAATTCACTCCGAAATCAGATTTGCTGTTGTGAGGTCACTTCTTTTGCTTAAAACCTTAGAACTAAGCTGGACATATTTTATGTAAAAGGAAATATTAAAGACGGTTGAAGCAGACTAGTTTCAAGCGACGTCAACTACAATAAAAGGGTCATAGTGCAGGTTGAAAATCACGTCGTTTTTTTCGTCCTTAGGGTCTTAAGCACCATAATCCCAGGACTCTAAGCATTTCTCCATAGTGGGAAACTTCGGAAAAAAGCCCATTCGTTTTTGAACTCTTCTGACTTAAATGACTGTCCACTTAGATAATTGTACAAGATTTCCATTCGATTTTTCTTTCATTCGTTCGGTTCGGAATTCCTCATTCTTTCTACCGAGCTTGTATACTTATTTACAGAAACTCAGCCCACGATCCCTCTAGAGCATCAAGGTTCAACTTTCACTTTAATATTTCCTACATAGATTTCTGAGATCCACAAGCAATGTGACAACGGACTGAGCCGACTGGTCACTTGTAAGACGTATTTTCCAGTTTTAGATTCCGTTTTTAGATTTATTCCCTGACTTTCCTTTTCATTTTCTTCGTAATCGTCAACATTTTTCTACAGACTTCTTATTGAACTTTTAAACTATGTGATAATCAATGTTTTTTTACAGCTTCTCATCGTTCATACAACCAATCAATATGTCGGACGTCGGAGAAAAGTTAGTTCTTCAAAGATGATTTATCCATTATGATATTTAAACAGTAATTTTGTAATAGCTGAGTGAGTTGATATCGATTCCCTTTCTGTTTTGAGGACATCTTGTCCTTCAGTCAAGCAATACCTCAGGCAGCAAACCATTGTAGTGCAAGCGATCGCTAAAAATACCACGATGTTCCGTTTCCTTCATTTTCTAGTTCGGTTTTTTTTCACATAATCCCCTCAAGGCCGGTTTCAATACAGACGAACCTGGACTGGTGTAGAAGTATATGTTTGCTCCAATTCCTCGTCATATTTTAACGGCTTAGCTGTCTTTCATACAGTATTTATTTTTTCCTACAGTAAATTTTTCATTCCTTTCCTCTTCGTTTGAAAATAAACTATGGCAATTCCTAAGTAATCTTTGAATTAAACGAAAGATATGGATTGAATCTGCAAATGTTCCTTTCCAAATGATTGCATACGAAAGAACCTCAGAACTCTTTGAAGCTTTATGCTCCTACTGATTTCACGAACAGTTTATGCTGACAGCATTATATTGTCGAAAGTTATAAAGGTTTTCTTTGCGTAATACGACGTTTTTACATCAGATATTTACAAGGTGAAAGGTTTAAAAGCACAGCGTTCAGCGTTCGCCAACCCTTAGGGATGCACCATATATTCAACTTCATGCAGAGATCACTGAGGGGCGGAGCGCACCTGCAGTGGTCCACCGATATCTCTGATCAGTATCTCCTCTTTCTCGTAAAAATGTGTGATCCAAATTCGTACTTCGTGGAAGGATTGCCGATTTGGTTGTCCAGGACGTTCCGAACGTTCCCACAAGACCACGATTGGGTTACAGGGAAACCACTGCAGAACCCGTACCTTTTCATTTAAGAAGCTCTTTTTGCGTATGGCTCAATTTATGGGCATAGGTGAAGTAAGGTAGCTAAGAAAACGACGAATTTAACCGTCGTATCATGGATAAATGTCATTGAGTTCTGAGAGTGAACAGCTGACTCTCGAATAAATGCAACTATTCTTCAAACTCTTGGGCGGAGTTCAAGCATCCACTTCCTCTCCCACAAGTGTTCTCGACGCCCCATACCTGACACCTTCTCTTTTCCTTCCCCAAGATTGCTGCGTTTTCGTATTTGGAGGCTCGTGTAACGCAGTGCTCAGATCCACTCTGCAATACACACGTGGGCTTTAGTTCTATCATGCGCCACAAGCTTACTAAGCCTTCCGCGCCTCCGGGATTCAAAAATTGGTACCAGACTGTTTAGGAGGATAACAGCACTGATTGAATACATTAGTATGCCGCGAGTCATTGTATTCGCCAAATATTCATACAGCCTCTTCTAACGATACTTGATAAAGTCGAATGCATGGCACATCCCCAACGATGGAATTCAACCGAGAGCTTTTTAATCGATTGTAAGATGAGGTGTCAAATTTGATCTTTTCCTCTCCCCATCTCTTCGAATGTCGTTTCGCTACTGTTGTATTTCTTAGTGACCTTATGTTGCTCAATTATCTTACTATGTATGCTTTTACATTTTTTCACACAACTCGACATTGCATGGTGCGCAGATTGCAGTGCTCCGTATAGTCATTTCGTTTCCTTGCTTCCATTATTCACAGTGGTCATTCAACTTTATCCCATGGATTCGGCAGATCCATAAAGTTTTTCTTCTTCTCTCTTAACGCCATTGAATGCTGATCAGAGTCGAGATGCTTTCTCGAACTCGAAGAACAGTGCTAGAGCGAATTGGAGAGAGTGAACTGCTACAGGTCTGATACCAGTTTAACGACCACGAAAGACCGGAGGCTTGGTAGGGTTGGGGCAGGGCCGAATGAGTGCGTTGTTCGTAATGAACGGCACAAGTGCCACTTCGCTAATTGTTACCTATGGGATAAAAACTCTAAAGGTTGAAGCTATCGGAGTTGATCAATCCCTGAGGGATGTGCCATGCATTCGACTTCATTAAGTATCGTTGGAGGTGATTGAATGCATATCTGGCTTTTACGACGACTCGCGGTGGCCTACCGATGTATCGATGCAGTGCTGCTATCCTCACGGTCAAGTCTAATACCAATTTGCCGACTCCGGAGGGATGGAAGGCTTGGTGGACCATAGGCGTGGGGATCGATTCCACGTGTGTGTCCCAGTGACGACTCCAACAACTGCGCTACACGCGCCCTACCTATGGAATACACTTTATAAATTATCTCTAGTACTTTTCCTAGTTCACCATTAGTTAATATATGTACGAGAAACATTGTGGTTCTGAGATTAATAAGGACCGACGAGAAAAAATACGGCCGGTCGATGATTATAGACATACATACTCGAAAGGATTCAAAGTCGAAAAGCAATGGAGAAACGGCGTGCGGATTTATTGGTAGACTTATTTGAACTTGTGAAACGTAATTGCTGCTAACATTTCGACGCCATCGTTTCTTTCCGAACGACGGTGATTCCAATCCAGTTTTCAGTTGTTGTTGTTTCCTGGTCAGTTTCCTAGGATGCCGGATAATCCACTTTATTTAAATAGCAATAACCGCTGGTTCCTCCGGTAAAGAACCGTATCGTGTGATTCCACTTCATTGGTGTATCGTTCCGATCTAATGGGCTTGATTCAATGTGGACACGAAAACCCACGTTCTAGGAACTAATTATAATGGACATGAATCATTGCGAGATGAAGCAAAGAGTACTGAAACGTTAACCACGGTGAAGTTTCATAATAGCCTTTTGCAAGCCTGTCAATAAACCACCGTAGTAAATGATTGGTTCCGAAGGATACTGCTTGTGTCATTCTTAAATTGGCGCTGTCAATGCGGTCAGTCAATGCGCTTGCAGTATGCACAAAGTGATTCAGGCAATTTTTTGTCAAGAAATTCCTGGACGAAGGGCTATGGAAGAAGTTGGAGGTTGAGGTGGCAAGAAGAATCGGGAACATCTAGTCGTTTGATGAGCGATGGGATTTTTTCTGCTCTTCATGGGGAATTTACTTTTGTAAAGTTCTGTGCCAGTCCTTCCATCGAATATGATAAGATTAAAACATTTTTATATGCACGCATATAAATATAAAGGATGAAGTGTTTAAGCACCGTATGAATCGTTGAATAAAAATTTAACCTTTGCAGTGACATATGGAGCCTGTTGGTTTATCAAGTCAGTGATATTCTCCTTCTTGACAAGTTTGGTAACAGTTTTGTTAACTCGAAGAGTTTGGTTTTCGTGGGAATTGAAGTCGAGCCAATAACTGTGTGTATCTTGATGGGCACCTTTGACCACTGCTCTACACGCACCTTGTACAAATATACTCTGCAAAAAGTCATTGATCATTACAATTTCCTTCATTTTGTCTTATTGATTATAAGACGCATTTCCTATAAAAACCGAAACAAGTCGATAAATTCCATAAACACGCAGATGATTTTGACTTTGCTTCATTTCTTACTCGCGCAAAAACAAGACTTGTTTCCTTCTGTTCCCTAAAAATAAATCTTAATGAAAAGACAAAGATCTCGGCGTTAATGAATCGCTGAGAGATGCACCACGTATTTGATTTTTTTAAGCATTATACAGTGGTTTAAATGCGTATGCTATCCTACCAGAAAAGTCTGGTACCAGTTTACCTCTCCCAGAGTGATAGAAGCTTGGTGAACCAGGGTGGGGTCGAATCAGTGTAGTGCTCGCGATGAACGGCATCACTACCACTACGCTATACGCTCCCTCCCAGTCAAGGTAGATAACGTTTGCTTAAGTAGATTTTTGAGGTTCCAAAATTTCCTTACACGGTTTTGGTGGTGGCCACCAAAAATCGTAGGGAGCTTCATACGAATCCTCTCGTTCGCCACATTTTGTAGTCCTATGGCTAAGTGCTCTCTTCACTCTCTTCTAGATCTTCTTTCGAAACATTGTATATTTTTTAATAAATAAAAATAAAATATTGTATATTGTTACCTAATATTTCTGGTAGTTTCTTTATGTTTCTGGCATATCTTTTCCATTTTCTCATGGTCTTCTAGCAGTTTATTTCTGTTATCAAATACTTCCTAAAAGTAATGAAATTTAGTGGAGGGTTTAGCCTTTTCACGAGTGTGGCCGATTTCGCGTGAAGGACTAATCGAACCGAGAGTCATTAGAGAGCATTTGAGATGCGCATTGAAATCAAGATGTAAGGTCCAAAGGTACAGCAGCGGTATACATTGGAATCACTGCGCACGGTCGTGAATAGGCTGAACATATGCCTAATTTTATGGTTATGCGAACATTTTCTGTTGCAGTTAAGTATTATCTTACCATTTCGCATGTTGCTGGAGAGGGAGGCGGTCTTTTGGATTGGCCATGCTTCGTCATGCTCTGCTCAACGAGTCCGCCGTGGTGTCACCGATTTCGGTGATCTTCACCTTGGTGATGCTCCAAACCGGAGCCAACGGAATAACGAAGATGCAAATTAATGAATTGATTGCAAAAGGTTAAGATGGCTTTTTATTCTTATAGTCTTTGTTTCCTTTTTCTCATTTACTTACTTCGCCTACCTTGGTGCAAGATTGAGGCAAGTTCGATTTGGAAACTCAAAGAAGAAGTAATTAGGCGCTTCGGATGAGAACATTAGTGATTATTACTCGACTCTCTCAAGTGAGATTCTTAATGCGATGGAGTGAAGACTCGGATAGCCAATGGTTTCTTTTTGGGGTATCATGTCGCTGAAGAAAATCACCATGAATTCAATTTCTTGCCTCTATTTCCTCTTACATCTTTATTTCTCCAGCGACACTTTTTGGTAAGCAATTCAATGTACAAAAGGATTACATGGATAGAATTGTTGAAAAGTACCATTCACAAGTGGACGCTCTGGATTTTTCGAAGTTACAAGAGGCAGCAGAGGTTAGTCTTCCATTTCCTGTCGATTAGCTGTTGGTCACACAATTGGAAGATGTTATTAGAGTTGAAGCCCAAATTTGGACACTTGGACGGCCCATCCTCACTGGTTGTGCAGGCTCCAGCATAATGACCATTTTTCTTAGATTTGCTAGTTTAGCCATTGTGGCTCCCTGGACTCCCCAGGTCAGCCTAGCTAAAGTCTGCCCCTGGTCTTCACCACCACAGGCAGTCGCAGCCCTTATGAATCAGGAAATTTGCCACCACGCGACTAATTTGACACCTGGATGGTGGTGGATCATGGCATCGGGTTACTCGTAGTTGGGCTTCGTGGTGGTGGAACGCCGGACTCCTTCTCAGCTTGGGAGACCCAGCGTGGGGGTGAGGGGGGAGGGAGGGAGTGGGGGAACGAATTTGTCCGCTGTACCTCGCAGTCCGACACCCAGGAACACCTCCCAGCCACGATGAAGCGGTAAACCGTTGGGTGGGAAACCCAATTTAGTTTCTTTTAATTGGAAATACTTTACACCTTTTTAAGGCGCTGATTAAAAATATTATAGATTGTTTTACGTTTTGTTGTCAAGTTTGAAAACACCAAAGCGTATTTACAATATGGAACGTATTAAGGGAAAAATTACTCTTCCCTACTTTGTGTCACATCACCACCTATTCCAGGTTATTAACGGATTTGTTAATAAGTCGACTGAAGGAAAAATTCGTGACCTTGTTAACGCCGACACTGTCAAGGTTGGTTTGCTTACTCCATTTTCATGTTCGCTTTTTATAAAATTTAAGGCGACCTTCATTGAAATAAGATGAACTACAATTCTTTTGATTTGATTATTATGTGACCTATCGTTACATCAGCTGTGGGCGTCCCAGCACTTCTTACACCTGCTTCGTTTTCCTCCTATCCATCGTCCACAATTCTTCCAAAATTTCGTGTGTTGCTTCGGCTGCTGTTTGAAGATTTCGTCTTCTTTATGAATGTCGTAGAATGCTGGTAAAGAGGATTCTTCTTGCAGTCGTAGAGAAAGCCGTGCTACGCCGTTTCCATGTGGATTGGAGGACAGTGTTGGGAGAATCGAACAAGCGCCTTTTTTTCATGATCGATGGGATCACTAACCACTGCGCGAATGCAAAAAGTGCTTGAGTCAGCACAGTGTGATAATTATGTTGGTGGAACATGTAAAAAGCTTTAGGACTGACATCCAAGCGTAATATTGAATAGCTGCAACAACTAAGCACGTATATCTTATTCCTGAAACTCGATAAATACACGTAAATGGATATCGTAAAGAAAGAAGTTCAATCATTTTTGGCAGATCTACAGAGGTCGGGAGAAAGGCATAAACAACGTTTTTCTCGACCTCAACTTGAGACTTATCTCTTGCAATGTTTTAGCGAAGATTATTCATATTCATAAAGTTTTTAGCTTGTTTTATAGACGCCGTCTCGCTCGTTGTCGATGCCATTTACTTTACTGCCGAATGGTTGCAGAAATTTTACAGCAGCTCCAATTCAAGTGAGGTGTTCTACAGCGCTGAAAATGTTAGCAGAGGGGTTTGTACATATACTATTTATTTGTATTTATTGTCTTGTTTATATGTCATATTTATTCTTGTCAGAGAGGTTTGGCGGTTTTCTACTTAAAACCCTAATCATCTCGGACCACAACAGCAATTTTGATCACTTCATAGTTACAGCGTCGTTTGTGTTAATGCTACATAAACGAATGCAGTTTTCATGGGTCATTGCTGCCGGAACTTTCCTATGCATTTATTCCTCAGAATTATTTAAAGCATAAAGTATTTTTGAAAAGAACAGGATAAACAGTGTGATGTCTAAAAACTAAATTAAGGTGGAATTCATGAATGATTTCCAAGTACACGGACAATATGCAGAGGATGATGAAGTAGAAGTTTTGTCGCTTCCATATCAGGACGATTCTTATGCTTTCAATATAATTCTACCTAAGAAAAGGTGGTTGGTCACAACACTTCGTTTTTCCATATTTTACATATCAGAGCTTTGTGTTCAGATTTCGTTTCTGATCCGTTCGTTCAAAACTTGATGGACCACGAATTCAAAAATTGCTGTCTGGGTTGGAAGAAATGTATGTCTCGGTATGCTATAAATTTCTGGAAAGAATTCATTGTTGAAGACTGTAATGTAAAGGATCGAGGCATCGTTGCAAAAAACATCTCTTTTGGTTTGACCTCTCAGTTCTACCAATCCCTTTGTCATAGCCAAGTCTGTGAAATGAACGACGACAAGGTGCGTTCCAAATTGTGAACTCATAGCGCTCCGCAATCATATTTCGCGGTCGGCGCCACCGACCACGAACAGTTTTTCGTCATCAGCGCATTTTTTCGTTTTTGACAATAAAAGATAATTTTTTAATAGATAGGGTGCTTCTTCTCTCAACGGTTTACGGTTCACCGTGACTGGGAGGTGAGCCTCGGTGTCGGACTGCGATGTACAGCGGCGGAAGGGTCTCCCAAGCTGAGAAGGACTCCGGCGTTTCCACCAGGAAGCCTAGCCAAGAGTAAACCAATGCCAGGATCCGGCACTGTCCTGGTATCAAAGTCGCACGGTGGCAAATCTTTTTTTGATCCACAAGGACTGCAACTACCTGTGGTGGTAAAGACCTGGGACAGACTTTACCTAGGCTGATCTCGGGATTCCAGGGAACCACAATAGCTTAACGAGCAAATCTCCGAAAAATCGAGATTATGTTGGGGCCCGCACAACCACTGAGGACGGGCCATTCAAGTGTCTAGTGTCAAAAGTGCTTCTCGTTGTTGTGAACACGAATGAGTTATGGAAAAGGCTTACTCTATCATTCTATGGATACGGATGATATGCATGCTGCTAATTACTGTGTGCTGCTATAGTCCATTATGCAAATGCGCTGTTGTTAGCATTATGAAGTATTTTGCACCCTACGTAGACTCAATTTCGGTATTTTTCATACACACGTTGAATATAATAAAGCATAGCCCTTAAAATGAGACAGTGGTTAATATGTATTCTTTCTTTGATGAGCTTACATGAGGTTGATAATGATGTTTATTTTCGGCTAACGTTTCGACGTCTTCGTCTTCCTCAGAGCCCATGATCCGAGTCGATGGTCCTCGCTTGTTATTCGCCTAATAATGATAACGAACGATAATAATAATGATAATATAATATAATGATATATAAAATAATAATGATACAAGTGCCACGACCGACTTTCTATTAACCTCGGCATTGATCAAGTGATTTTCTTCGTATTTTTGTTGAGCAAACGCGAGGTGTTATTATTCTTGGTTCACGATTAAGCTGACGTTTCGGCGGATTTCGCCTTCTTCAGAGCCTGGAAAGGTCAAGTTGATAGCAATCCACTCGGCCAGACGCCTCCATAACCAAACAAAGAAACTCCAAACCAAGATTTCACTCACTTTGAACACAGCTTTGCACACTCACCACTTTCTATGAGGTTTCCACTAAGTATGTCACGTAGAGACCAACCGCACAGAAATCACGTGGAA